CCGAAGACAAACCTTATCATGCTCAACAACCATCCATGTCTCGAAGTTGAAGAAAAATATTGTAGAGGTAAGAGACAGACAGATGCTAGCGAGCCAAATAGTTGGATGTCCAGTAACCCTCCTCCATACGGCAACAAAAAGATGCAGCAAGCAAAATAACAAGCTGACTTTTCTCTGGCCACTGCAGGAAGAGAGACAACATAATAATAAGTTTGACAGATGGTATTCTTGACTAATCAAAAAAATCATTTATCTTATGGTGCTCCATCACAATTTTGAGAACAATAAACGATTGAAAACAATAATGATAATCATCATGGACCAATACAGTTTAGTACTTTGGAACATATACTGGTCAAACACATAGCTTCAAGTTCAAGCTTTGTTGGACAGTTTATTAGAAAAATGATCTCTTAGTCTAAAAAGAATGCATCAAAGGAACGTAGATGAGATTGATACTTAATATCTCCCAAAATGGAAGCTCTATTTCATTATGATGTTGAACCAAATAATCGTAGTCTAAGATTTTGAATTTATGATATATAGATTTCCAAAAGAATGAAAATGGCAACTTGCAGTATACCATAATGGTTATGCAAATAGAGATGGAACATGGTAAACACAGAAAACTAGGCAGGTACCCTTACATCAAATCCGAGAGCATTCCCAAAAAGGTACCGACAAAGAGAGCAGTTGCGTATCCAACACATAGAGAGATGACCATCTGCTCCCTACTAATGCCATGGAATGCTAAGTCGTACTCTCCAAATACTGCCAACAAGCCTTCCATTACTGTAAAAAGTTAAATTAAATAAATAACGATTTTGAATCCAAGCAATCATAAAAAGGACAAACTTATATATCGAGGATGTAATAAAAAGGGAAGCGTGACTTTTTTTATGGAATATGTGATTTCGCGTACACCTTAACATGTGTTCTATGATCAGTAACTACGATATCTCTATCAAGTTAAAATAATAATTGACAACTTTGTGGTGTCAGCTCAGCCTTATCATAATATGCTAATAAACAGATTATACGGGAGCAACTTGTATCAGTATATCAATTCACACTCCACATTCAATGTAAAGTTCCCGTATCAACATTTTAATATCATATGTTAGAATAACTTCATTGAGTCTTGAATAAACTTTTGAATTTGATTGATCCAAATTTGTATAGATGTTTATTACTCTACTATAACAACAGGATAATCCACTTTTGTGAACCTGAGTGTTCCACAAATGAAAAAAATATCTAACTTGATAAAATGCTCAATGTAGCAACATACAAATTAAGAGATAGTCCATCTATCCAATTAGTTTGAGACGTCAACTTGACCATTTTCAGAACTAAGTCAGACTAGTTTAATTCATTTCTTTAAGTTAAAATTATGAAATCCAGAACCTGCTAGAAGTTTCATTTTTCTCTTTTGGCAAAATAGAGGGTAAATATCAAACATTTGTAACAGAGGAAATCCAGCAGTTAATAAACAGGGAAACACGTAAAGTTCACTACCTCGCACCAATTTTAGCAGCAAGTAGACTCTAGGAGTTAATTAGAACGCGACATTTCCTAATACTACATTCAGTGGGAAGAAAAAAACAACTCGGAAAATAACGTCACCTGAAGAAAGCGAATAGAGTAAAAGGAAACTTCTCTGGAAACGAATGAAGGAAGACGAAGGTGCGTGATCGAAAATGGCGGAACTTCTGGTGCTGCTTGGCAAATAGTAGATTGACAAGCAACATGATATGAAGAAGAATAAACACAGTGCTGGATTTGGCTCCCAAACATTGCTCTCGACGATCACCCCCATTCTTAAGAAAATGTATTTCACCCGATCTCAAAATTACTAGATCATCCCAGCGAATAGTGGAACGCGTCTAAATAGAGCCTCGCAATGAACTGTTTCCAAGGCGGGTTAATTTTCAGTGAACTGAAAGCCCATTTATTTGGTCAGAACCTTTTTTGGGCTGATGTAACACTCCATATTAAGCCCAATTAGGAGGGGAAATTACGCAACAAAACAAACTTATACTATTTAATTACTCATCATAGCAATAGTTTGCTATAATTATCACTCACGATTAATATTATACATTAATTATGTGAGCTGACTTCAAATTTGTATGATTAGTCATGTTTGTATATGTATAATTCGTCAAAATATACAAATACATATATATAATATACAATTATTTAATCTATATACATATACAATTCACCTCTCTCCCACTCTCTACCATCTCTCACTCGTATATCTCCTCCCTCTCCCAATCTCACTTGCACTATATACAAATGTGTGTATATATATATATATACTATATATATATATATTCACCTCTCTTCCCCCTCTCTCGTTTTTCTCCTCCATCCCCCAATCTCTCTTGCCATATATACAAATACATACGTATAATATATAATTATCTAACCAATATACATATACAATACAATTCACCTTTCTTCCGCTCTTTTTCCCCTCTGTCTTGCCTCTCTGCTCTCTCTCTCAGGCTCGCTCGCTTCTCTTCTCCATATAACATGTAGCTACATATTGTAATTATCAAACTATAACTATTGAGGGTAATCAATTATTTTTAAGTGGCTATGTGTGAAAGTTTTCTGTTAGAAAAATACACCCCTTTTGTATTAGCCATCAACCAAGTTGGAAAAAAATTGAGTACTTTTTAATGAATAATTATTGGTTATAGATTATAGCTATATTTTTATTTTTTTATTATTTATAGCAATAAGTTTGCACTATATATTATATAAACATATTATCTATCAATAAACATATTTTCTTCATTTATTCTCTATAGTATTTATGGTATTGATGTATTTTCTTTATATAAATTCCTCCAAAGTGTTTAATTATTGTTTTTCATTTTATGTATAATGAAATATCATGAATTATTTTTTTAGTAAGCTAATACAAACGAACAGAGTCTAAAAAGGAGATTTTGATAAAATTTAGCATATGGTAAATTCTTAAAATAATGTTTAAAATATTTAGAAATTAAATTAAAATACCGTACTTGTCCTTTCAACATATTTTTTTACCTCTCTATCCCCTGCAGCTGCCGTATCCCCGCCACCGCCTGTAACAGAAGAGCTCTCTAGGGTTTCAATTCACCTCCGTTTCAGCAGTAATGGGTGGAGGCAACGGTCAGAAAGCCAAGATGGCTCGTGAGAAGAACATATAGAAGATGAAAGGCGCAAAAGGTATTTTGTTTCTAATGATCTGAACCCAATTTCATCCACATCATGCTCTTAATTCAATGGTCAATTAGCCTTAATATCAGCCGATTCGATCTCGTTGTTGGAATTCGACGTGGCTGAGAGTGCCTTAATCGCTCTTTTTGTTTGTTTAGATGCTGAGATATGATTTTACGTTAATCGTCAATCTTTTGGCTTTTTACTAACTCTCAAAATCTATATGCAGAAAGCCAACTTGACGCGAACAAGAAGGCCATGAATATCCAGGTAAAGCCTTTTTATTGTGCAATTTTGGTATGTAAATTGTAATGGGTAATTACTGAATCCCAATATTTGTTGGATTCATCTAGAGAAATTGATTATGGATAGCTGAAATTGATTAGTCCAGTAGTAACAAGAAGAGGGGCATTATATGTTGAAGGTGAGAACCGATCAATCACTCCAATAAATCAATAACCTGGATATCCTTACCATCTATAATCTTTTGTTATTATTTTTCGGGCTGGTAACTTCATGGTGTTGAACTTCATCTTCGTATGAGTTCATATTTCATAATGACAACCCAATAATGGCAACTCTCAATCATGTGTTCCACTGTGTAGTCTCCTTTAAATGTTCTGTAATTTGGCTCATGTAGCATGTGAATTGTTTAGTCACTCTTCTTACATAGATACTGGCTATGTGGTTCAGTACTCCTATCTTTCTCCTTGTACTTTGAAAATCTGAATTTAGGCAATTCGATTGTTTTTTATGTCTTATTAGATTGTCTTTTGTCTTTCTTTTCCAGCCTTCTACGATATTTCTGTGATGTTGTATAACTTCTGCCAAAAAAAATTTTCTTAGGCTTTCAATAGGAGATAGCCTAAGTAAAGAGTCGCATTCAAGTCTGAACAATAATCTTTATGGCTCTGCTTATCAGTGTCTACACAGATTTTCTTACCGGGTGAACTATTTTTATGTCTTCTTTCAGCCTCTGATAATTCATTAGTGTCTTTAGAGTTCATCTTGATTGATGTTTGTTTTGATCCTTCACTAACTTGTATTTATTGTTGCGGATGATGGCAGTGCAAGGTGTGCATGCAGACATTTATGTGCACAACGTCAGAGGTGAAGTGCAAGGAACATGCCGAGGCCAAACATCCAAAATCTGACCTCGCCACCTGTTTCCCTCATCTCAAAATATAAACTTAGGTGTCGAACATGTCTTGTAGATAATGTTAGTATTACCTCCTATCACTAATCACAAAGTGTCGATCCAAGCAAGATGTAAAATTGTGTATTTGTCCCGCACATAAATAGGTCGGGCCAAATCTTTAGTTGTGTACTCTACTCTTAAATTGTTGATATTACGTCTTGATTTGTCAATGAATTTGGTGTGGTGTTTTTGTTCAATGTTGGTGTGAGATGCGTTCTACAGGGTTAGCTTCTTTCATTTATTTGTTAGATTCATCTAGAGAAATTGATAATGGATAGCTGCAATTTCGCAAGTAGGGAGAAAATCTAAGCACTGTGCTCCACTGGATGACCACGAGGTCTGAGATTCTACTAAGCAAGGGCTTCTCTTCATTCTTCTATAGCCCTACACCATATCAATGAACTTACACAAAAGACAAACCACCAAAGCTGAATGCAGAAAAATCCAGTGCACTAATATACAAAGTGAACTAATTTTCAAAAATCTGCTTTTGTTCACATCTAGGGAGATAGTATCTTTGGGGAAGGGGGGGTGGGGTGACTTTTGACGCCCAGCAAGTCACTTCCATTTGCAATCAAGGTCACGATCAGGAAATCTAAAAAACACTATTTCTCTTGAAATGTTCAATGATGAAGATCTGTAATTCCTGAATTCAGATGTCTGCTCAAGTTCAAATCCACATAGTTCTCACGAATGTCACTTAAATGGATACACAAGGTACATTACACAGTTTTTTTTCTTCCCATTAACAGCAAGACAAGAAAGCTACTGTGTCCTCATTCTGCTAGTTTCAGCAGCCCTCACTTGCCCGAAATATGGATGGGCCTAAGAAACAGGGCAGAGAAAGCAGTTAGTAGGTTTCCCAACACACTGTTCAATACTCTAGTTGTGCAAAACAAAACAAATACATGTATAGTGTTGTTAAAAGAAATAATTGAGAAGGGAGAGTGGATTGATTCCAGGAAAGATGCAGATGCAACATCATGACAAAGGAAAAAAACATAGCCAAGAGCAGAAACAGAAAGCACTGACACTTCACAATCACCAGCTTGTTTCTAACAGAATTTCAAAACAAAAAACTAGTCAAGTTGCGTCTCTTCACCCACTCATCCTCACTGATCTCATTTATTTATAACCTTACATTTTGGTTTTGGTAAAGTATGTGTTTTAAAATGTCACGAAACCATTTTCTTTAATAAGCAATAGTAAACCAATATAAGACAGAAGCTGAGAAGAAAATGATGAGGCTCAGAGTTTAAAGCTCATTAATAGTGGATAAAGAGGATTACCATTGCTTCTTTTGCCGTAAGTCTAGTCTGATGATCGTAACGGAGAAGCTTGTCAAGATAATCTATAGCCTGCAATGAGAAGCCAAAATCAATTATCAAGTGGGTAGTGAAGAACAGCCAATTGGTTGAGATGTACTTGTCACCATTGCTGGTTTCGTCTTATTCAGAAATACCATAGATACATAAATAGAGAGAGAAGAGTACCTCCGGTGACACTAGATGCTGATTGTCTGCATTAATAAATTTGGACCACGGCTTCCTACTGTGTCTGCAGGGGAAAGACAGATTGTATTCACCTTCAATAGCTAAGAATTTTGGCAATTAATGAGAGAGGACACACATCTGCTAAAGCTAGTTGCTAAGATCAACTTGGTAACCCTATTTAGTCACAGCTCTAAGTTATTTTGCAAATTGCCTTAGCGTAGTTTTATCTTGGCGATAAAGCAAGAAGCATACCTCCCAACCATAGCCTCTAGCTGAGGATCAAGCTCTAGTTGATACTTGTGCAAGTACGCATTCAACTCATCTGTCCCAAGTACCTATAACAACAATAATCTATCAACTCCATGTCAAGCAGTTATGCTTTACTTCTATAAATTGAGTGTTCACTTGCAACTGAAGTAACAACTTCTTTGGTTGTTTTCAGATGATCAACTTCCCCCCTCTCACTCAAACAACAAAATTAAGGTATATAAACCCATTGGTCACTGGTCAGTTACTACGCATTACCTTTGCAATTTTGACGAGCTGATCCTGATTATCATGGCCATAAAAGAAAGGTTCCTTGCGGAAAATCTACCAAGGAAAAGGTATGGTCAGACACAAAGAAAACAGGAGGAAAAGGAAAATTGATTTCAAATAAGCAAAATACAAACTTCTAACAAGTCCTTTCGGATGTTTGTAGTTTCCCAGGCCCACAACTGATAGCATAAAACTATAAACCAACTGACAGCTTATATTATGAATCATAGAATTTCTCACCATTCCTGCAAACATGCAGCCAAGGCTCCACATGTCCAAAGAATAGTCATAGTCTTGCAAGTCAACTAGAAGTTCAGGGCCCTTGAAGTATCTGAAGTGCAAGAAAAGAAGAACTCAGACTTGCTTCAATAGCATTGATAGTTTATGAACCACTAACTTACGGTACAAAACCAATTTCCCATATGCAGCTATGCTGATACAGAATTAGTTTTACATAAACAATTCCTAACCTTTTCCTATAATCCCATTGATTGTTTTAAGTATTCTTTAATGGGTATTGTTTTAAGTATTCTTTAAGAACTCAGCTGTTCCTTGAGATGATTTGATTATGTCTTGCATTAACCCCTCCTGATGCACTGACTCCTGAGTGTGAAACTATGGTGAGTGGAGCTGTTAAAAAACGAAGTAGACCTAAAATCACATGGAAGGAAGTTGTCTTTAAGGACCTATAATTTTAAGGATCCATGTGAACTTACGAAAGGCACAATGGAAGAAAAAATTCTATATATATGCTACATATTAGTCGAGAATATATTAATATATTAGAATTTTCCTGTAGGTCCTATACTTTCTAGGAGTGTTTTAGCTTTTCAGAAGTTTGTCAGTTAAGAAAATATAGAGATTCTAAACTTTACAAGTCCGCAAGATATGGGATTAAATGGAGTAACATGGACAGCAAAAATCATATAACGACCCCGACTAGTTTGGAACTGACGGGTAGTTGTTGTATATGTAAGTGAATGATGTTCCTTTTATTATTTCTGACTTAAAAAATATATAACAATGTCACTTGCTTTCTGATTAAAAACTCATGACTTGTCCAGAGAATAATTTGCAAGTAGAGCATGGATCTACAAATAGCAATGCTATATGTAGGAAGTTGTTGCTGGCAAAGCAACTATGCCGGTCCAGCCATACTGTCGGCAGATTATCTCACCTTGAAGCCACACGAACATTATATTCCTTCCCTGGGTGGTAAAATTCGGCAAGACCCCAATCTATCAAGCGAAGCTTCCGCAGTTCATGGTCTATCATAACGTTATGAGGTTTGACATCCCTGTGCATTATTCCCTGTGAATGGCAATAATCTAGTGCCTGCAGGTTGATAAGAAGTTTCAGTTTTCGACCTCCATAAATTGGTAAGCATGTCAAGAAATGTACACAAAGAATAGGTCCCAAAGAGTCTATTAAACAACTGTCACAAGAAATGAAGGCCTCAGCAAATTCAGCAGTCATGCCAAAAACGTGATTCTTTCTTTTCTTTCAAAAAAGAAGGGGAAATTAATAGAGTAAATTAAGCGAATGGAAAGTAAGTATGCAGGAACAGATCTAGCATTTGACAAACAATTATGCTGATACACAATGAGAAAGCTTGAGAAGTTAAATTTCTTTTCTTTTTTTCGCAGGAGGAGGCAAAAGAAAGGAAACCTAGACATATGATCAGGTAGGCTGGTGATGTAGGCATGTAGCAAAAAGGAAGAACTAACTTCGAGATAGAAATCAACAGGATCCAATAATTAGCATCCCCATTTCCAAATAGTTACTCTCACGCAAATCAGACAAAAAGGGAATATAATATTACTCGTGAAAAAGGAAAATGAAATTTAAATAGCAATTAGCAAACAGAGGAGAGAATATCCATGGCATTGGTGAATTTTTTTTCCTTAACCAATTATAAGATCAGAAGAATACAAGAGAGTTACTTAAGAAATCCAAAGTCAGAAAAAAAATGTCACATTGTTAAGAGTAACAACGAGCATAGCCATTAATCTAGATATAAAATCAACTTCCAATAGGCATGCAGTGAATCTAATTCATATCATCTGATAACAAGAGACATGGTAAGCACCTCACTATGAGGTCATTTACCTTGTAAAAAACACATTCAGAAGCTATACTTAGACCGAATTGCAGAGGAAAGGTAATCAATTGGAATGACCAAGACAGTGAATGAGCTGACAATATCAATAAGAAAAATCTACATTTTTGATGATGGATTTGAAATCCATGTATTGGCAGGCAGGATAAGGTGAACAAATATGAGTTTACAGTCTTAGTCATTCCCACTAACCCAAGATCACGAGACACATTCGACAGACTCCCAATTATCTAAATATAGATATAAGATGAATCCAAATTAGTGCAGTTTTATGGCACCAGAATCTTGGATTCCAAAATTTCCACTTGAGATGAGCCTAGGAGTTATAACTTTGATAGTTTGATCTCATAATTTGATCATAGTATATGAGAATATATCCACTCAATTCAGAAATAGTTGCTGAGCATAAGAAAACTGGGGACTCCCAAAATTCTCATACTCATACAAACCTTGAAAAGCTGCAATAGAAGGAAATGTTGGAGACAAACAAAGTTTTGACCAGATAGTAAGTTAAGACATCAGTACAACTCTATTCTTGGTTCTGAGAGAAGAAAGAAGATACAGAAAAGGAGGACCAAGAGGACAGGAAGTATATAACTGTTACCTTCCTTAAAAAAAAAAAAAAGAATCAGGGGAGAGGGAGCATGAATACATAAAAGCCATATTGACTGCCATCTGATGTGTTTATCATCTTACCTTGAGAAGCTCATATATGTAGTACCGTATGTCATAGTCTGTTAGCGTTGGGTACAAAACCTTGAAATCTGTGCTGTTCACGTACTCAAAAATCAAGCTTGGAGTTTTTGAATGCTGATCTCTGACGATATCAAGGAGTTTGACAATATTTGGTCCACCACAGAGATTTTGCAATATCTTTATCTCTCTTTTGATCTACACGATACCGCTAATGTCAAGTCAAAAGCATGTATATTCTTTTCTTTTTTTCCGTATAAAGCACAATATTACAAACTAAAACAGTGTTAATTTAAAAATTAAGTTAAAGAAAGGATAGGAGGACAAAAGGTGTATGAACAGTGGATGCATAACACTACCAAAACGATCAAAAAATGTCATCAAGAGATGAACCTAGGCATTATGCATTTCGTACAACATAACTGAATTTTTTCCAAAGTTCCAAAAAAGAAACTTCACTTATTTCTTTGACACCCTATCAACCACATGGATAGATAATTGAGAGTAGTCTTTTTCATGAGTTAAATACAGATTTTTCCATTAAGCCTGTCGATGTTGATGATTCTCAATAGATACTAAGCCCCTTTATATGAGTTAGATACAGATTCTTCCATTAATGTTGAAGATTATCCATAGATATTAAGTCAGACAAAAAATAAGTATTGCATTACAGAAGAACTCTTCCTGCAAACTTCTTCATTTTTTTTCCTTTTGAAGCAGAAAAATGAAATCTTAATTCAGCCAAAAAACGTCATACCTTTTTCTTCTTAACAGGTTTCAGGATCTTGATTATGCACTTCTCCCTGCTGTTAACATTTATACCTTCAAAAACTTCACTGTATTTTCCTCTTCCAACTTTTCGAACAACCTCATAGTCATCCTGATCACTACAATAATAAATATGACATGCACTAGTGAGGATAATACAATGTAGCTGGTGCATTAAAGTTGAGTAAGTCAAATAGAATCATATCTGAAACCAATACTTGTGTAAGATAAAACTAATCGTTGAGCCAAGGGTCAAGGTACTCTAGAACCAAGATTAACAAACTATATTCTCCCACTTTAGCAAGACATTTATATAGTTCTTGTTACACAAAATGCTCTCATCTTGATAAATGCAGCAGAACTATACAATAACAAAAATAAACTAACTGGTGTCAACTAAATGAAGCCTCTATAATTATCCACTCCACTTCGGGGCTGTTCCATTCAAGTATTCAATAATTCAACTTTTAACACAACGGGTTGTAAATCTCACTCTTATTACAAGACTTACACAAACATTTACTTCAGTCCAAATGTGCACCAGCAGGACCAATCCTTAAACTCAACAAATTGGTATATAACTCAACTAATTGGTATATTATATTTGTTATTTAGCTTCCATTGTATCATGTGGAAGCTAATATAGAAGTAACAAACATATAAAGACTTGAAGCCCAACCTAATCTGGAGCCACAAAATACAGACTCAGTTCAACAAGACTAGACAGGAGTTTTGCATTAACCCAATAGGTATTTTCCAATGTGAAAGTCATTCCATTCAAGATAGCAGGAATTCGCCAAAATAGCATCTAACACTGATCACACAATTATCTATTAGACAAAAAATAGGAATAAGAAACCCAACATTTGTTTTCAGGTTTCACCCACCCCTGGAGTGGATGTTACAATGCTATGTAACCTCCACTTATCTTTAAAAAAGGAAACATAACCAAGAATTATGTTCTTGGATGCTGTAAGAGGATGTTACAACACACCCACTTTTCTTTCAGACGAAAAAAACAAGGAAACATACCCAAGAATTATGTTCTTGGATGCTGTAAGAGGATGTTACAACACCCACTTTTTACTTCAGACGGAAAAAACAAGGAAACATAAGCAAAAACTATTTTCTTGGATGCTAGAAGTGGATGTTATTATTTTACCAAACAATCTTTTTAAAAAAAGGTAATAAACAGCATCTAATTCAAGAATTTCAATCTATTATCCAGTATACAAACCCCCAAAACTAAAAACAAAATCAAAAGCGATTAGGGTTAAATAAGGGAAAATATTTACCCCCATTGAACAGTTAGCGATTCGTAATCCCAATATTCCCTAGGACGAAGCACATTGATATCGGTGTATACTCGAGCTTTGGACATGGTTTATCCGGAAATCAGAGACTGAAGAGTTATTGATAAAGGTATCGGATTTCGGAAAAGGGACAACAAAGAAGACGCAGGCTGGGTAGATGCAACGAAGGAATTGGGCCCCGCTTCTGTTTGATGCAACCGCCAGAGCAATAACACTACTTTACTCACACACCATTTTTAGGAAAAAGCCATAGATTGGGAAAGCTTTTTGCTCTCTCTTGTATGCTGCTATTGGGACCCTTTTCACTCTCCACAGGCAAATATCTTTATATGGTCGTTGCCAAATGGCTAATTTGCTTTTCTTAATTTTATATTGTTTTCGCTAAAGCGTCGGAAACTTTTTTGATTTGTCAATTAGGTCCATGTTTTGACCAACCAAAAGAAATAAAATAGGGAAAGAGGGTGATATCAGAAGTGGAAATGGCATGGTATGGTGGTATATATCGAAATAATCGTATTATATTTAAAATTTTTATAACATAATTTTGATATTATGATACTGTATACATTTTAGTTTATTTTTGGTTTTTAGGTAGTTATTTGATATTTACATATAGCATATTGAAAATATTAAATATCATATTGAAGTATCTAGTTATATAAATAACTTATATATTATTAAAATATTAATAAATATGCAACTTAGTGTATTAATATAAGTTGAATGCTCTATTTCGATTGAAATGTATTTAGATTGTAAATGATTAACAAAAAGAGTTGTTTATAATTTATTTTACATATATATTTCTACATGTGTATGTGTTGGTATATGTGATACAAATGATTTTTTTTTTAATTGTCGAATTCATAATACTCTATTATACGAGTACAGGGTATATATTGATCGATGTTAAATTATGGTTACCGATTTACTATACTCATAAAATATTGAAACCAAACTTCAATATACTGAATCATACCGGATTAGAGTGGTATGGTTGATGGTATGATGTTTTACAAATCAAATATCGAAATTACAGTATTGAAATTTTCAAATATTGTATCACGCCATATCATGTCCATCTCATGTTGAGATTGAATCTTTTGCTAATGGCTTGTAGCTTAGTCTATTCTAAAAATTAACTTTTTATCAGGGGTAGATCCACATAGAGCCTTTCGATGTTCGAACGTCTATTAACCTCGTATTAAAATATATGTACCTTTGTAAAAATTAAAAGGTATATGCATAAAATTTCATAGAACACCTAATGAACAAATATTCTGAATGAGCTGATGGCTCTTGGTGGATCCTTAACATTATTTTAATGTTGTTGAGCATAAGTTTGAATCTCATTAATTATAAATATATCAACGCTTCACAGAGATGGTGAATCAATTAAGTTATTCTTCTTCTTCTAAGATAGTCATCTAATTTTGATATTCCGTGTTTTAAGATTTATTCCCTTGTCCCTAACATATTGATTTTTTTTCAATTTTTTCTTCTTTCACATAGTAAATTTAAATTATCTTAATATTGATCATTTTGTTAAAACTATCCTTCCGTTCGCCTATTTTATCCTAATTGTCTTTTAAAATTGAAAACGTTCATCATCTTAAAAGAATTATGAAATTATATTTGTGGGACTAAAAATACTCATAGAACAATTACGATAGACTTTTTGTTACTAAAATCAAATCAATTTAATTCACTCTAAAGTTATTAAAATCAAACTAATTAACACATTTCTTAATTTGATTGATCTTGATTTAGTTCCTTTTTTATTTATTTTTAGAAACCTAATGTATGTCCTTACCCATCCCTGCATTTAGAATTTGTTTTCCAACTAATAATCTGTTATTATTCTTTTATTATGGAATATGAAAGAAAAAAATGTCTTTATGATATTTACATTGATGTCTCAGAGTCATTTCTTGATAAAGTGAGTTTAAATTCATGTTTTTTTTAATAGTTTAAAAATACAAAGTTTATTAACCTAACAAAGGTAAATATAATTATGGTAAAAAAGTAGATGAACGATTACAAATAATTGTAAAACTAACATACTATATGTGTATCTATATAATTATAAAAATTATGGGAATATAAGTTTGATTTTTCTTTTTCAATTTATTTTTAATTAAATCAGATAAAATATTATTGATTTTCTAAATTTTTAGATCAAATCAAACAAATTCAAATAATATTAGTGAATTTAATTAATTTAAATTAATTTTTTATTTAGATTGAAATATAATTATATAATAAATACTAAATATTTTTATACAGCACTTTATAATTAAATTAGCAGTTCTAATGCGTTGATGCACATCAATATTTGTACAACAACTTGTAATATATCTTTTGAATCACTTCCCACTTTCGTAATCGTATTTATAACGTTTTGTATTTCTTGGTATTTAATTTCATTAAGATTAATGAATATAAATAGTTAAATATTTGTCAGGTACTAAGGCGTCCTTTTATAACAAATTTAAAGGACTAAAATTTTGGACATACCGTCAAACATACGCAACTAAGGGCCCGTTTGGTATAAATTTTCCAAATAATATTTGGGAAAAATTTGACTTGTTTTTGGCAAATATTTTAAATTTTCGAATACTAGTTTTTTCTAGTATTTGGGTCAAATCTCATTATTTGGGATATTTTAAAAATTAAAATTTTACCCCAATCTTTTATCTTTTACAAAAACACCCTCGCTAGTAGTTGCTTGCGTTGTATTACATCATTTTTTACGTGAACACCAAAATAGTGATGAAATATTTAGTGAATATTAAATAATGATATGATTGTTGATGAAAATTATTAAAAATTGACTTTAGGTAACAAAGTCATGTCACGATGTATGAAATAATTCTTGTTGCACTCACTCCAAATTACCACATTGCTTTAGCGTCATGGACACTATTTGTTATTGTTATAACGAAAATTCAATTGACTTGTAATACAAACTTTTAGTTAGTTTTGATAGTTTTTAAAATTTGTGTGTATAAATCATATTTTTCTAAAAAGGTGAAATATATTTTTCAAATTTATGGTCAAACACATGGTGAAATTTCACCCAAATTTTAACTCAAATAATATTTGCCAAGAATATTTGAAAATTTATGACCAAAATTTTCTATTTGCTTCTTCTCTACGCTTCTCTGCTTCTGAATTTTTCACTCTGCTACAGCCAAATTCTCCTTTCTTTAGAAGCGCTTAACACTTCCGGCGGAGATAGTCCGGTAAGCCCTCGCTTTCATCTTATTTCCGTAAGTTTTCGAGTAGTTTCTCAAACTCGGGATTAACAGTGGCTTAAATCAGAATTTTTCACCATTAAATTATGAATAAGTTAACACCGGAAGAAGTATTGAAAAGGGGGTTTAAAGTTCGAACATGAATGGGATTCTGTAAGGTTCTAAACTGAGGGAAAGAAGGCCTTTCTTGATGTTGTTGTATGTTAGTATTGGTAGGTTTTTAAAGTACTTGACTCATAAGTTCCCTAAATTGGAGCGATGTTCTTAATACTATAATTGCTATTTGGGAAATTATTGGAGTATTTTGGTGTTCTTGTGAAAATAGGTTTACTGTTTTATTATATGTGTTCTGTTTTCTGTCTGCTTCTCCTTGCATGGCCGCCACTCTCCTACAGAAATTTGTTCCTAGTTGCATAGAATAATGTTCATGGCATTAAAACAAATTACTGACAGCTTAACCCTCCTTTCAGTCAACGCTTTCCCTAATAAAATCCACCCTTCCTCAAGTCTTTCGTTACCGTTTCCTTGCAGACAGTTTTTTTTTGCTCTTTGATCAGCAAAACATACAAGTGCTAAGTTAGTCTAGTAACTCCCCTATTCTTCAGTCACTCTATTCATGATCGGTGTTCTCTTACTTCTCCTACATCAAGCCCATAATACTGGAGGGGTGGTTTTTGTCGTGAACTAGAGTAATGCCAAAGAATTGATTACTTGCAACCACTTGTTCTTGACTCTTGTAAGCTGTAATCAATTTATCATACTCTTGACTCTTGTAAGCTATAATCAGTATATCACAATGCATGAGTAGGCCTGCTGAAGTGTCATATTTTAATTCTTAAGTGTTAAGCTGTTATCAGTGTAACTTTCTTATGGCCTAAAATTGCACATACAACAAGGTAACACAAAGAACAGTACTATCGGTAAAGCATAAACTTCTTCAACCCAGTTGTTTATCTGATGAACTTGCATATGCAATTTCTTGATGATGAACACTATGCATCCTATACTCCTATATTATGAGGTAAACAGACTTCCTTCATCCGAAAGAGATAACTCTTGCATATGAAATCCCCAAGCCCATATTTATAGTACATTCCAAATAACGGGTTTAGATTGCAATTGTATACAGTCAGATACTAGTGGTTAGTGAACATCAGACTTGTCAATGATCACCCTTGCTCTGGGATGGTCCTCGGTGGAGGAAGAGAGAGATAATCCTTGTGTGTGTGTGTGTGTGGGTGGGTGGGGGATTTTTTTGTGTGGATAATTTGGTGATTCAACCTAAGTGTCTTTGTACAAATAGAGATGTTGCAAGTAAGTGTGTTGTTGCAGGTACCTCTCAAGATGCAATTGTTGGTTCATTCTAGTCATTTTTAAGCTCCATTCTTCATTAATTCCATAGTTTTCGTGGTCAACTTTGATCCAAATTTTATGACTTCTTGAACTCTGGTATTTATTTCTTCACTCCAAAATACAGTGTAAAATCTTTAGTGGTGCATTCAGTAATTATCCATGGCCATACTCATTTCTGCAAATAATCCTGATTTCACAAAGGTGGAAGCTGAGATGGTAGATTGTGTCAAAATTCTTTAAAAGTGATCAGGTTAGTTGATATATGCCGGGAGATATAAGAAAAATGGCTGAAGGGGAGCCTTGGAGCAACATAAAATGTTGTCTTTGTGTGATCTATATGCAGGGAGGAGGTATAAGAAAAATGGCTGAAGGGGAGCTTTGGAGCGACATTAAAAGTTGTCTTTGTGTGATCTATCGGTCACAAGTTTGAGCCGTGGAAGTAGTCACTAATGCTTGAATTAGGGCAGGCTGTCTATATCAGATCCATGGGGTGTGACCCTTTTCCATCCCTGTGTGAACACGATATGCCTTGCGCACCGGCTGCTGTGTCATGTAAGAAAAATGATCGTCTATTTCTTTTAGCTGATTGTATTGAGCTATGATGGTAGACTCTGTCTCAGTTTCTTTGATATGATTTTCTATTCTTTGTCTAATGGTGGTGGGCTGGTGGTATTAGGACCAACTTTTGTGTGCATCAATTAATACCCTGGG